TAGCTCTCCTCATTTCAGCAGGGTATCTTCTTTATTTGTTTTGGTGAGGGGTGGGCAGGCAAACTCTAATAGCCAGTTCCTATCCCGAATAAACACCCTGAGCTGGCCAGGGGGCCACTTCTCTGGTTGTCTTCTCGGAAAATGCAGGCACTGGACAAAGCCTTGCAGAGGGGACCTCTACCATTCTCCCAAGAAAAAAAAACTAGCCAAAACATGTTTCTTAAGAAATAACCCTAAACCCAGCAGTAAAGATGATGCAGTGATTCAATTTTCAATGTAATATTAACTAATAAACTTCTTTTTAAAAACAAGTTATAAAAATTCATCATGATCTTCACAAACATCCTACTTTTGCCTCACAGTTCTCCTAAGCAAGGCTGGAGATGTAGCTCAGGGGTCGCTCAGTGCATGTGAGGTTTGGGGTCCCATCCCCGCCACCACACCTTCCCCAAAGGAATTCCTGAATACAGACTACTTTAGCAAGGTTAATTTCCAGTTTCTAGAGATCGCAGAATCTATTGGTGGTAGACATTCATTGAATCCAAAACTAATTACTGAGCAACTACTACTATTCTAAAATACAGATCATGAGAAACATATTGCTGGAGGAAAGAGACAAAAAAGTTTTTAATTACAAACCTATTTCTGAACTTTAATGTTTAAAAGAAGCCAAACCCATCCATGTATTTTTATGAAGATTCTGGTGCTCCACCTTAGGTATAATTTATAGCCAGAGTCACCTTGGGATTACTCTGCTCTGGGGCACCCTCCGAGCAGCTACTTGTCCAAGACCACTGTGGAGGCGGCTGGGAGGAGCTCAAGGGACACAGGCCCTATTATTACATAACTGCTTAAATTACTCTCCAATGACTTAAAAATTTTATAATAAGGGCCAGGGATTTAGCTCAGTGGTTTCGCCGCCTGCTGCGCAAGCGCAAGAGCGCAAGGTCCCAAGTTCGATCCCCGGTACCAACAAAAAAAAAAGTTTGTAATAAGTTCCAAATGACTTTAGCAGTTAAGGAATACCGCTTAGTAGCCCACAAGACTGCAAGCAGCTCCTTTGCTTACGTCAGACACTGAACAGGAAGAGAAGCCTGTGAGTGTGCATTCCAATTCCATCCTTAACACTCAATTAGCCCCCCCCAAAAAACACACTGAGGAAAGATCATTTCAGCTCCCTGCCATACCCTTCCTACTCTCATTTATTTCCTCCACTCTCCCTGAGACCCATAAGAAAGGTCCCTGAAGTTCCTGCCCTAAGCCTGATGCATGATTTCCTCACATCCTCAACTCTATGGAAAAAATCTCAACCCCGCTTTGTCTGCTGTCAGAAAATACTGTGCTTCCCTTGAAGAACTGCCATGGTTTATTTTTTTCATAGTCTATTAGGGACAGCACTGTGTTCTTTTAGTCTCAGGATGCATTCAAGGACCCGCTTAACCTGTACGCCACAGGTAGGATGGGATCACTATGAGTGCCCTGATTCTTCACTGAATGATCTGTATCACTTTCTACTTTAGATCTGGCCCTATTATGATTCTTTGTAAATTTCAAGATATCAATCACTTTGTCTTTTTCTTTTATTCTTATTAAAGAAACTTTATTCATATTCCAGGATGAAGATATCAGAAAATTTTAGGCTTATTGCCTCATTAAAAAAGTAAATTTTAGGGCCGGGGATTTAGCTCAGTGGCACTGCACCTGTCTCGCAATCGCAAGGTATGGAGTTCGATCCCCAGCATGGCAAAAAAAGAAAAAAGAAAAAAGTAAATTTTGTATGTTCTGCTATTATCTATGATCTATTTTGTATGTTCTGCTATCTCACCAAGCAAATTATCTTAAGCTTAAAGATTTTTCCCTGAAATTTTACTGACTACAAGTATTTAGGATTAAAGGCTCCTTCAATTCATTCATGAACTGCTTTCACAGCTGAAATACAACAAGATCAAAGATGTATTAACATACACTGAACACTTAAGAGTCAGGGACATATAAAGCTAATAAATACACCAATGCTAATTTTCTATTACTAAGAGTTAACAGCCACAGTGTAGTCACTGAGTAACTTACTAGAAGCTAAACATACACCTCAACTCAGTGTTTGGGGAAATTTATTTCCTCCCACTTTACATATTGAGAAACCAAGATGTTAACTTGCCAACAACATACAAGGCAGTAAATGGCAAGGGAGAAGTAGAATCCACATGTGCTTGATTCAAAAGCACTCTACACTGCCTCCACAAGATGTTTGTTTTTTTACTTTATTAATGAGGTTGTAAGAAAAAAAATTTTTGGTGGTGCAAGCCTGTAATCCCAGTGCTTGGGAGGCTGAGGCAGGAGGATCTTGGTGGTGGCTGAGCCCAGCCTGGCTACATAGGGAGTTCAAGGCCAACCTGAACTACATAGAGACCTTATACCACAAAGCCAAAAAATAATATTGATATTTAATCAGCATATAAATTACATAATATATAAAAAGAAGGAATCAAAAGGTGTTCAAACCATTCAGGTGCAGTAGCACACTATAATCCCAGCTACATGGGAGGCTGGGACAGGAGAATTCCAAGTTCAGGGTTCGGCTGGGCGACTTAGGGAGACCCTATCTCAAATTACAAAACGAAAAAGTATTGAGGATGTATGTAGCTCAGTGGCAGAGTGCTTGCCTAATGTACAGCCCCTGGGTTCAATCCCCAGTACCTTTAAAAAAATGTCCAAACCATGCAAAGTTCAGGCCTCCATAAATCTACTTTTTAGCCAATAGTCTTCAACCCTCCATCTCATACAAAGATCTAACTAGCATGAATTTTCCAAGCCCAGATCAGAAACAGCGTAACATGAATAATCACAACATCAAGAAGTGACAGGTGGAAAATGAAAAGTGGGAGACGGGAGGCAATATGACTTGTGGCAGAACAAATCTAAGTTCTCACTAAACAAAAATACAGCTTTTAGAGTTCCAAATTTCTTCTGTGACCTTGAGGCGATCACATCCCTTCTGAGCTTCAGCATTCTGATCTGTAAAGGATGCTGGATAATCTCAGCAGTCCTCCCCCACTTCACAGGGCTGCTCTGCTGTTAAGATCAAAAGACTTCCTATGAAAAGGATACTGTATAAAAGGACCACACAAATGAAAGGGGTTATTAAAAAATAGGTTTGGTGCCTAAAGGGATAATCCTCACCGCTGTTTATAACTAACTTTTTCAAAGGTTCTCAAAACTGAGGCCTTACTGTTTAAAAAAATTATAATTGCAGTGATCTAGCCCCAGTCTGCATTTCCTTGGGTCTGCTCAGTAATCTGAAGTAGGAAAAGTCCGGAAGCTGCTACATTAGTCAGCAAAAAGAAAACTAACTTGGATATTAACATCCAGGGAAAGCCAGTCACCCCAAAGACTGCCAAAGTTATCAGTACATTTACAATCCGAAGTTAAAACAGAAGGTTCTTAACCGCTGCCAGCCAAGAATCAGAGGGAGAATTATAATTAACATGCACAAGGCGGTACAGGGTACTGCGTGTAACAGTATGGCTACGCTGATGACCTGAAAAGTTTTCTAAAGCTTGGCTGGTAACCTTGGAAGGAATGGACAAATGCTGTGCAACAGTTTTCAGTTGGCTACGTTTGTTCTCAATTATACACAAATCACTCACCTGTTTAAAAATATTTAGGAAACTGTTTTCTACTATGGGCAACACATTTGAGAAGACATAAAGACTTCAATTTTGGATACACAGATTAAAACCAAGGCCTTGTTCCAAAGACTGTTCAGAACCTACTAGCTGAATGAGAGCACGATGTGCAGACCAGCGCGGCAGGGTAGAAGCGGCTCAGCCTCCCTTGGGCTTGACAAGGGTGCTCATCATCACCTTTACGTAACACACTTCACACCGCGGACACCTTAGCCCGGGGCCTTTCGGCTCTGACAAAGCCGGTATATTCTACCAGCAGTGGGGCGGTCGGTGGCGACCCTGACGGGCTTCGGCTCCCGGGAGGTTAACGGGAATTTAACCACAGCAGCCCTCCTTTGTGGCGCTTTGGCCGGAACAGCAGCGAGCAGACAATGAGCGGTCTGTGCGCAGTTCCACGCCGATTGGCTGGTCTCTCCCCTCAGAAACCCCTGAGGTCATGGGCTTGGAATGCAGGCAGGGAGGAAGGAAGGAGAGGATTTGGGGAGGGGGACGCCTCTCATCTCTTTCCCGAGCCCAAAGTCCCAAGATAAACCCGACGCATTCTTGTGTGGAGTGGCAAATCTGAGCGGGCACCAAATACCAACCATTCTGAAGAACCACCTGGTTCAGCAAATAAATCCCGAACAAAAGCAACCCGCAAAGATGTGACCCGCAAAGATGTGAGTCTAACGCGCTACAAACTTCTCGAGGTTTCATAAAACATCTCCAGTCCACAGCATGTGGCCCTCCTTCCCGAAGCGAAGCGGCCCGCTCGGGCTTTGTCTCGGTTTCCCGCAGAAGCCCACGCCCCGGCTCCCGCGGCTCGGGGCCCCGAGGCCGGCGGGTGCTCAGGGTCTCCCACCCCGGAGCAGGCGGGGAACAATGAGGGGCCTGCTTCGGCCACGTAACTGCTAACTTCGTCCTCCGAGCAGAGCGGGGGTGGAGGGGGCCTGGGCGGGAGGAGGCGCGGGGTCCCACGGAGCCTGGCTGGGCGCGCGGCAGGGAGGCGCACGGCCCCGCCCAAGGGTGCAGGGCTCGCGGCAGCGTCCCCTTTTCCCGGGGGGGCGCGCCCTACACCCGGGCAGCCCGCGGCCCAGGGGCCAGCGCCGCGAGACTCCAGGCCCGCCCGGGAGCCCCCGCCCGCGGCTGATCCCGGCCCACGGCGCAGGAACAAAGCCAGGACGGCGGCGGGACGCGGCGCGGCCGCGCAGCAACTCTGCGGCCGCCTCGACGTCTCGGCTTAGCGAGGGCTGCGCCGAAGCGCGCGGGAGAACGTTGCGCGGCGCCTTCCCCGGCAGCGCCTGGCAGCCGTCGAGGGGCCCAAGCCAGGCGTACCTTGTTCTTAACCTCGGCCGACAGCCCGTAGGAAGGGCCCTTATTGAAGTGGGTCATGGTGTTCCGGGCGGCGGAAGGGGCTGCGCTCGGGGTCTCTCGCACTCCGCCTCCCCGCTCCTGGCCCCGAGAGTGGCCTCGCGGGAGATGCTCGGAACTCCGGGAGGCGCAGAAGACGCCCTGCGGCGACGGCGGGGGTCGGGGCTAGGGGCTCGGTGCGCGGGTCGCGTGGATCCTGTGGTGCGCCCGGGAGTCGCGCTGGCTGCTGCGCTCGCTGCCCGCGCCGCAGCTCCGCACTAACTGGCCCCCGCCACCGCCCCGGGCTCTCCGGGATTGGCCGGCGCTCCGAGCCAATGGGGCGCCGCCTGCTCCCGCCTCCCCGGCGAGGGCCGCCCTCACGCCACCC